TGGCTCTGTCCAATCACAAACAAGAAGTGTTCTCCCTAAAGGAATACCCTTTCCGTCCAATATGAAATGCTGTGGTGTTTTTCTGAAATGCTGTTGTGTTTTCTGAAATGCTGTGGCGTTTTCTGAAATGCTGTGGTGTTTTCTGAAATGCTGTGGTGTTTTCTGAAATGCTGTGGTGTTTTCTGAAATGCTGCGGCGTTTTCTGAAATAATGCGGCGTTTTGTGAAATGCTGCTGCGTTTTGTGAAATGCTGCAGCGTTTTGTGAAATGCTGTAGCGTTTTGTGAAATGCTGCAGCGTTTTGTGAAATGCTGTAGCGTTTTGTGAAATGCTGTGGTGTCTTCTGAAATGCTGCTGCGTTGTCTGAAGTGCTGTAGCGTTTTGTGAAATGCTGTGGTGTCTTCTGAAATGCTGTAGCGTTTTGTGAAATGCTGTGGTGTCTTCTTAAATGCTGCTGCGTTTTCTGAAGTGCTGTAGCGTTTTGTGAAGTGCTGTAGCGTTTTGTGAAATGCTGTAGCGTTTTGTGAAATGCTGCAGCGTTTTGTGAAATGCTGTGGTGTCTTCTGAAATGCTGTAGCGTTTTGTGAAATGCTGCAGCGTTTTGTGAAATGCTGTGGTGTCTTCTGAAATGCTGCAGCGTTTTGTGAAATGCTGCAGCGTTTTGTGAAATGCTGCTGCGTTTTGTGAAATGCTGTGGTGTCTTCTGAAATGCTGCTGTGTTTCTGAAATTCTGCAGCGTTTTCTGAAATGCTGCTGCGTTTTCTGAAATGCTGCAGCATTTTGTGAAATGCTGTGGTGTCTTCTGAAATGCTGTCAGGGCCGCCGTACTTTATCTAGAGAGTGATCAGCACACTATTATCATCATACATCACTATAAATGCGTTTTTCAGATATGAGCTCATGGAAAATGCTAATCTGACTGTTTTCCATACATTTGAATATTTAATATATAAATATGTATACACACATTACTGACTGTGTAGTACCTAGAAAGCTTCTATAATTGGCCTCATGCTGACTACAGGAACATGGGAGGAAATTATTCAAATAACAGTGTGAATCCCCAGCAGGAAGCCACGGGAAATGTGCAAAAATCAACCATAATTTATGTGAAAAATGGCAATTTTCTAAATTCCTTTCCATCTATTTTCTGTCGAGTTTTAATTTTTTTTATTTTTACAGTCTCACACTCAAGAACACCAACATGGAAACCGTTTTCTGAATTTCCATGCTTTGTTTGTTTTAATATGTAATGTATGTTTATACTGGACACATACAGTAGGTACACGTTTGCATAGACTCTCCCTGTAGTATCTAAAATGCAAAATAGGCAAACATATCCATAATTTTTGTAAAAACTGGCAATTTTCTTAATACCTTTCCAGGCTAAACGTAAAAGAAAAAAAGGACATTTTCATTTTCATGTATTTTTACAGTATGAAATCATGCAATACGTGCACGTTTGCATTCAGAATAAAAGGCAAAATGTGTATAATTGGCTTCATGCTGACTGGAAAGACATGGAAGAAAATTACACTAATTAAAGTATGAAGTCGGCAGCAGGGGGACTCCATTTATTTTCATCTTTCGTGTTTGTTTCTTAGCCTTTTTTGAGTCATTTTAACCAGAAACCCTTTTTTGTATATCATGAGGAGAAACAGCATTGTATATATGTGTCTGGATTGGAATCAAATCTCCCTGTCTCACAGCTGGAAATGAACACCTCTACCTCTTATCAGAAAACATTTCCATCAGCGGTGTGCAGGTGTCTGCCATGATGTCCTTTCTCTGCTAATGGACACATATCCTGCAGGACGAGTGTCACAGATGCTCACACGTCTGATCTCTATTGTTTCTCCGAGTGAAGAGCGTCTCCTTCATTAATCCAAACACTTCTGATTCTGCAGCTCTTCTTGTCCAGCACTGATGAAATGAAATGACTTTGCTGATGGTGTTGCAGGGATCCTGTCAGTCACTGATTGGTCATTTCACTCTGTGTGTGGCGGCTGATTTTGGTTTGTGTTGCATCGAGGAGCATGCACTAGATTTTTCAACAGCATACAGTTATAATATCAGAGCATGTATCAAAAGTAGGTAAACAAATGTTCACTTTATAGAAAAATAGAGTAACAATGTAAATACTGTTTCATTTAACACCAGGGCAAACTAAATCCCAAACAGACAGAAGACAAACAGACATGCAAAAATAGACAAACAAAAAATAAACAATCAAATAAATAGAAAACCAGTCGGCTAAAACTGGAATGTCTAGATTATACTTTTGAACCCTTTTTCAAGGTACAGTTGAGTAAAATAGAAGATGCACTATCCAATAACTTAACTTGTGCAGGGCGGAAAATAATGAAGAATATGATTGTTGATTGTTTTCTTGATTCCTTCAGTATTCACCGTCAGGAAATGGTGAAGATGTCTATCAGAGTTTCCCATAATTCATCGTGTTGATTTCACGTGCCTTCAAAAAAAAAAATTAACATTCTTCAGCGTTGTCTGCTGTTGACTTTGATTTGAAAACCAAATACATTTTACATCCATTTATGTCTAAAAAAGGTCACATATATTACAACTTAAGCTTCTTAAACTGTCATTTGACCATCTTTAAGGTGAAACAACTGCATTTACAGTCATATTGATAATCTCCTTCCATATTTAGCTCTTGAGAGGAAACAATATGGAGGCACTATTCAGTTTTTTGTTCGGTGTTTCCTTCCCTGTTGTGTGTTATGTAGTTTTTTGTGCATGTTAATGTTCTGCGAAGGCTAGAATCCCTGTGTGTTTCTCAATGTCGAGTACGCTTGCTTGGTAGCACATGTCTTCCGAGTCACTTGCTTCAGAAGCGAGGCAAGAATCCTTCCTGGCATTCGGAAAACGAAGAGTGGAACAGGCTAGCAAGTGTGCAGGTGTGCGTCATATGAGAGGCCCCGCCTTACATTTTCCGCCACAGATTTGAGGAAATTGGTCCGTGCGCAAAGCATTGTGGGGATTTTAAGACCGCGGAGTCTACACATGTGCAGCCTCGTAATTTCTCGCTACGAAGTACGCCGGGCTCGGTAGAATTCAAAGTATGCTGGACATTGGAACAGTCCTTCGGCGGCACTCGATGACGTAGTATGCTTGAAATAGTGGCTCTGGAGCAGCTTTACTCGAGATTGAGAAACACCCTCTGTCTCAACAAATTGTGTGTGATGTAAAGAGGCGGGATATCTCTAAGCAGTTGACCAATCACAACAGAGCCAGCCAGCTAACCAATCAGAGCAGACTGGGCTCTGGTTTCAGACAGAGGGTGAAAAGAGGTGCTGCAGCACAGGCTGTATGGGAAGAATAAAGAGCTTTTTGAACATTAAAGCATGGAGACATGTAGAGACACTACATACTGATATACACCTGAACATCAGCAGGAGAGGACTCTTTAAAGTAGATACACTACATACTGATATACACCTGAACATCAGCAAGAGAGGACTCTTTAAAGTAGAGACACTACATACTGATATACACCTGAACATCAGCAGGAGAGGACTCTTTAAAGTAGAGACACTACATACTGATATACACCTGAACATCAGCAGGAGAGGACTCTTTAAAGTAGAGACACTACATACTGATATGAACCTGAAATGAGCAGAGTAGCCTCTTTAAGATACAACTCATAAGATAATCAGGTTATTGTATAAATATCTTGGCTCTATCCAGGTCCCTCATGGCCACAAGCTGCGATGAATATGATTTGCGAGGCTATTAATTTTCCGATCCATAAATCAGGTTGTCGCCTCAGATTAATAGAGTGTGGTCACCTGACCTGTTACCATTTTAAGTACAGCCTTTAGTCTTTTGGTGATATTTCCTCTCACACACAGTCCCCCCAATGAAGCAAAAGAAGATTTGACGATGATTAACATTATATCTAATATTTTTGGAACAATGTAAACAAACAATATAGTTGTTCTCTGTTTCGGTTATCTCCACTACTTTAGATAATTGTAACTTTTTTTTTGATCCCAAGATTAAAAGCTTAACTGCGACTTTAGAAAACAAAAAATACTGGATTAACAAAAAATAATAATAATGCAAAAATACTAAATTAATAATAATAAAGCTTTATTCGTTAGCACTTTTCATAAAAAGAATGCAGCTGATCAAAGTCACAAGACAAGATCAACAAGAAACAAGAAATTCACTACAGGTCAAACTATTTAGCACAGGGATGAATTTCATAAATTATTGTAACACCCAATTTTCTACTGTGTTTTACTAGTTTCTATTTTGCCATAAAGTCTGATGTCTCTGACCAAAAACAATGTCATGAGGGCTATGTTCCTGCTTTTCTGTCCTCCGCTCTCAACTCAGCTTTTTTTGTCGTACTATATATTAATATTAGTTGAACAAGATTGAAGATGATTTCTGTGGAGTTTTCTGGAGGCGTGTGGTGCAGTGGGTTGTGTGTTTGTTTTCGGATCAGGGGGTTACAGGTTCAAACCCCACTGCAGTCAGCATGTCGTTGTGTCCCTGAAGACGCTTCACCCCAAATTGCTCCTGTGGGGATTGTCCACAGTATTGAGTATGTAAGTCGCTTTGGATAAAAGCGTCTAACAAGTGACATGGAATGTAATGTAATGTTTTCCTGTGCATATCTTAGTTGATAAGAAATAAGCCTAATGACTTATTTACGTAACAAAATACACCCTTCCTATTTATCCTTATTATAATCAATCTGAAGCTTCTGTTGAGCTGCCACCACTCACAAGCATCATTTACCTACATTTGATTGATTTTGCTAACTTATAACTGAACTTACGAGACAGTATACCTCTAGTGAGTGGCCCAGCTCTTCGTATATTTTTCTGTACTGTATGTGGCCCTCTGTGAAAAAAGTGTGGACACCCCTGCACTAATGGGAGCAGGGGGGATTCTTATAGTTTCTAATGAACAGGTTTATGTGAGTCTGACCTCTTCTCCTCTTCTCCTCTCCTTCATGTTTCCCAGCTGAATTCTCCGGGGCTGCTGACTATGCCCCGGAGCCCCACCTCCAGCGAGGATGAAATGGCTCAGAGCTGTTCAGACTACTCCGACGACTGCGCCTCCGACAGCTCCCGAGAAGAAACCATCTACGAGACGATAAAGGCCACGGCCGAGCAATCTCAGAGCCGCATGGACGACATCAGCACCAACTCGCTGGTCGTCCGCATCCTCATCCCCGACCTGCAGCAGTCGGTGAGAAACACAGACACGTGAGGTGGTCATTGGTCTAGAAATGTGAACCGGGAAATGTTGAGTAATAATAATAATAATGTCAGAAGGATGTGTAACATTTGAAAGTTGCAATGAGGTTTCTGAGTGAAAGTATGAAGGAGCAGTTGGCAGTTGAAGTTGCATAAAGATTGTTCAAGGCTGAAGAATTTCTCCATTGACTTCCATGTTAAAAAATGTGTGAATTATGGGATATATCTCTGGAATTATGAACGTTATGAATGTCAGGAGTAATGCCGCAAATGCCCTAAATGAGCTGAACGTTTTGATGTTTGAACGGAGTTTGTGGGTTGAAAAATGTGGAAGGAGCTAAGGTCCAAAAAAAGTGGATATTTATGCTTACTCAGCATTCCCACTAAATAATAATAATAGATTACATTTGTAAAGCGCCTTTCAAGGGACCCAAGGCCGCTTTACATGGTGAGCACACAAACAAACAAACAAACAAAAGGGGCAAATAATAAAGTAAAAAGGAAATCAATAGCAGCACGAGTGGAAGCAGGCGGACTGTGATGGGTTAGGGGTCAAAGGCCATGATGTACAGTACCCCAAAGTTTTATGTAAAAAAAGCATTGTATGGTTCCCAAGCACATATAAACACCTGGATAATAACTTGCATATGTTGGGCAATTTGCACCATTAGAATTAACGTTAATTAGTATTAAATAGCATTATAGCCTATAGAGACAATAGTTAAAAAATGGCTTGGCTAATTTGGATATTTTCATCTCTAACATTTCCACGATCCAAAATGGCAGTTTTTGAATGTCACCTAGCGATTTAGGATTGGATTAGATGTACTGTATAAATCGCACGTAGGACACTTTTTTTGTTATAGCATGCATGAGAAAAAGACATTGCACATGAAATTAAGCCATTAAATATGTAAATAACAATTGAAAGATATGCAGCATTTAAAACATTTTCAGGGTTTTTGAGAAAACAAATAGTTAAATCCGGCAAAAAAGAAACTATGGAGACAGGAGTTCTCTGCAAAGGTTACATGTCGTGCAGGGGTATTGCTTTGGCAGGAAATATTTCCTGTGTTGTTCTTCGTTGGAGAATGATTTGATATCCTGATGCTTTAACCCCAGTGTTTTACATAAACCTCCATCCAGTAGACATCCATACACGAGCAATTTGGGGTCAAATATCTTGTCCAAGGAAAAATCAAATACATTTCGATTGCCCAATATCACAAATTACACAATTGTCTCAGGGAGCTTTACCGTTTCTACGTTTCTCCTTATAACCCTCTTTTTAACAAGGAAAACTCACACAAAAAAACACAATAAACCGAAACATTTTCGGAACCTCAGAGAAAGACAGATATGCAATAAATATTGAGTGTATAGGTATTAAATGATAAAATGACATCATGGACAACACAACTGACAATGAAGTGCGGATCAAACTGACTCCCATTTCCCTGTGAGCCACAGCCAGCGAAAGAGTCTCAATTTGAATTCCATTTTTGTTCTCCAACTGACATCTGAGTATTGAATTCCCAAGCTTCTTCTGGAGGATTAATCATGGTGTATTTGACATCCTATTTATTCTAAGCTAGTACACTCGAGCACAACACGGTGTAGTGTTTATCAGAGTTGAAGTAGTGTTGGAGAGGCACTGTGTCCTCTGGAGCATTTCAGATGTGGCTTGTATAACCTGTTTCAGTATGCATTAAAAACACAGGAAAATGAAGGAAAAGTGGAATGTGAGGGTAAACAGAAGTTTTTCAAGATGTGAAAGGGCTTTCCAGTAAATCCCTCTCAGCTCACTGCACCTCTAACAAGCTTACAAGTATACTGTCAAAGCTATTGCAAGTACACACTTCAGGTAAACCACCACATTTTCATTCTTTCTCAAAAAACCCTCAGAGACATGTTGTCCTGAGGCCTTCTCATTGAATATAACACATTAGCTCAGATTAGACATACTGTATTGATCCCAACTGGTGTTGTTACAGAAGCATGAGAGGCAGAGGCATTGAGTTAAACGTGCAATACACCATAAGCAGTAAATATATCAACAGTAGAACATTTAGAAATATATATCCATAGGGATTCTATATAATTCACAATATAACATATCCAAAATAAGTTAGATGATTATATAATAGACCGACTAAGTACTAAATCATGAAACATGCAATGCTACATATACTGTAAGGAAACATGATGAAGTACACAGGCCACGGTTTACACACACCATTTGCATTTTTATTTAAAATAAATCCCAGAATAATGTGCCAAAGGTTTCATCTAGTATGCTTATACTTTTCTTAACACGTCCTTATCACTTCTGTATGAATAATATCCAAGATTCAAATATTTAAAGGCTTTATTTGAAATGAGAATCTGAAGTCTCCTCCAACAATGTATGAAAAAGCAAAAAAATATTATAGTGAAATAAAAGAAATGGTCCAATTAAAGGTGGGGTAGGTAAGTTTGAGAAACCGGCTCGAGATACACTTTTTGTTATATTCCTCATACTCTTAACATCCCGATAGCAATGAATATCTGAAGTGCTTTGTGGAAGCCGTGGCGCTGTAAAAAGCACGACCAATCATCTGTGTCGGCCCGGCTAAAGTAACTGGATGGCCTACCTGCCTGTCAGCCTTCCATCTGGGCACAAACTTATCTCGTGCCCTCATTGGTCATGTGCGCGTTCGTGTGTGTTGGAGGAGGGGCTCTGTGAGGAAGTGGCAGATTTGTTCCGGCTGTGTATTTTCAAATTCTAGCGCACTCGAGCTGGTTTCTCCAAAATTACCTACCCCACCTTTAAGTAAAACGAATAAAAAATATATATACATTACATTACATGTCACTTGTTAGACGCTTTTATCCAAAGTGACTTACATTCTCAATACTGAGGACAATCCCCTCAGGAGCAATTTGGGGTGAAGTGTCTCAGGGACACAACGACATGCTGACTGCAGCGGGGTTTGAACCTGTGACCCGCTGTCCCAACACCAACGCACAACCCACTGCACCACACGCCTCCCTATATACGTATACAAAATAATGAAATTAATTTTTTTAAATACATATTAAATTATTTTGTCTTTTTTTCACATTCTCACTTCTTATGCTTTCATGAATTGTTGTTCTTTATTTTTCTTCCTGCTAAATGTAAAAACTGTCACATAACCCACGTTCCCCTATAGGATGAACCAAATGTATTCTGACTAGAAAAACGCTTATACATTCTGTTCTTAATAACAAATAATCTACACTCTAGTACATAGATAAGTGAATATGTGGAAGACATGTGCTTCACCTTGGATGGAGAGCAATAATTATTATCTTCCTCTTATCTGAAACTTGCTAAAAGCTGCCTCTTCTGTGGAAAGGCTTCTTACAGTAATCTCACTTATCTCAAATTCAACTGAACCTAAATGACCACGTGTCCTTTCCCCTAATAACATGTGTGTGAGTGGGCGACATATATATTGTGGGGGGTTGATATATAGACATAGTGCGTAGGTGAGGATGTCCATTTAAAGGGGAGGGGGTTTTATATGTGAGTCTTTACTCAGGGAAACGTCTGATTGTTAATAATGTAGGGTTGTAACAGGGTTTTGTAGATCAGCCAACTCACTTGTGTTGCATGGCTCAATACTGAACATTATAAAACATGGACCACCATATGTATCATATGTTGGTGCAGGGCATAACAGGTGAGAGGATAACAAACGTGTGTAAGCCCTGAGGAAAGAAGGACATGACTGATGAAAGATGTTATAATTGTTCCCACATTTCCCATTAGTATGTAAATGAATGTCAGGTAGATGGATAGCAGAAGGCAAATGATGCATAATGAATGTTATTATCAGGCCCAGACCTCATATACTCGCAAAGTGTGTGTCTGAGAAACATCCACGCATCCAGTTCGCCCCAGGATGAGGATTTTTTCGACATACATTTTCATGTTCTTGTGTAAAGTTGGAATAAGAAACACTGTCGTTAGTTTATGAGCATAATTGTAGAAACGATCTGCCTCCCAGCTATAAGGCTGTGTTGGCATGAATCTTATATGAAACAAAAAAACACATTTGTGAATATTTTCAAAGTATAAACTGCTGAATAACAACGTTTAAATGCAATCATCACAGTCACTGTAACATCCACAATAACCAACATTTGCCAATACCAGTGTCATTGCTTTGTATAACAGAGTTTCATATCACATACTATTGCTATTCTTCTTGTATTGATATATTTTACATCCTTACTTCCAGCACTTCTAGTTTGCACACTTTAAAACTATTATTGTTGTTGTTTTATGAACAATTTAAGCAAAAGAATATAGTGAAGCGTAGTTTATGTTATGTCCATCACGTTTAATTATTTCAGCTTCTTCTCTGTCCCCAAGATTGAAAAGATTACTAAAAATAAAATCACCTTAATAACTAGATGAATGTAACCTCCAATCTTCTCTGCCTTAAACTCTGATATGTACTTTGTCACGACGCCTGCAATGTGTTTGAGATTACCAACACGGCTTCAACATTAATACAGTCTGCATGTTTTGCACGTTTTATTAATTGTAACAGTAGGAATTATTCATGTTGCATTCACTTACTGCTCAGTAGCAGCATCATTAATTCATTGTAGCATCACTGATGATAACGTTAGAAAGATTACTGAAGCTGCTGTGTGCAATATATACATATATGTACATGCTGCATTGATCATAGAGCATATGCACTGTAGCTGTCCATGGATATTCCTTTACTGTCAATCCCAGAGAAGGTTTATCTTCAAAGAGCAGCGGTGCCTCCCCCCCCCCCCACCCCACCCCACCCCTATGGATGAGCAGCTGGAGTGTGTACTGTACAGTTTCATGTTGGACTAATGCAGCTTTGTAGTCCAGCTCTGTGTTTGATGTGTGTGTCCTCGGGGACCGACAGAAAGCTTTAAGAATGGAGGTCCGTGACAGTACAGTGAGCCAGGGCATTTCCT